CTGCAAGATTAAGCCTCCAAGTCCCCGAAGCTAGCACCCACCCAAATAGTTATTGGGGAAAAGAAAATTCTCTTTAGAACCGCTTTTGAACATCGATACCAGTATATCTTCTGCGGCGTCTCATTGACTATACTGTACTTCCATTATGAATGAAATATTTTGCAATACGGGTTAAAAGTTCAATATTTTGATATATTATTATAAAATAATTCCCCTCATTAAAAGGTCACAGGAAGTGATGGAGCATTGATGTCTCTGAAGACTATTTCAGGAAAGAGAGGGAAAACAAAGAATTTTAAAATGAAAAAAATTAGTAAAGTTCATGCATTCATTTTTCTTTTTTTTTCCTTCCTTTCTTCTTCTGTTTTTCACTCTTTTGTTCTTCTTCTTCTTTTTACTCTTCTTTGATTTGTTTTATTCTATGAAGAGACTACGTGTCACTCGGGGGCCTTTATGCAAAGTACTGTAATATACTTTAAACCCGCCACTACATTAATCAAAAGTACGGATACGATTATTATAGTAGCCTATACTGGTATTCTTGTATTTTGGCCTTATCATATACAGGACTGTTTTAATTTTGTTAGTAATGTCATCTCATATATTATACACACGCACAAACTTACGATAATGCTGAAAAGTGTGTGCCCGGTCAAAATAATGTAAGAGATACAAAATATATACCAGACGAATTTAAGGAAAACAAAATAAGGTAAGCTAGGGTAGAAAAGGCAGCGGTTTGTGCCTTCATAAAAACAACATTGATTAATGTACTGAAAATAGTGGAATTATTATTATTTATTTTTTATATAAGATATTTACATAAACATATATTCGTCAAGGATTATCATCCCCCGGCCGCGCATATTTTTTTTACACAACTGTTTAGCCATTTTCGCGAAAAAATTCAAAGAAGTGCTCTGGTGATAGAGTCTAAGTCGTCAGCGTACTATTATGTGCAAGCACGTACACCAAGCGAAGGGAATAGATGATAGAAAGGGGAAAACAAGGATAGTTGAGAGGATGGAGAAGGAAAAACAGGGAAATACATAAGGAAAGAGAAGAGGATAAGTCAAAGGAAGAACATAGAAATACATAATTGAAGAGCTAAGAGGATCATAGATCTAGACTAAGGAAAAACAGGGAAATACATAAAGAAGGAGAAAAGGAATCTATCATGCAGATTAAAACAAAGAAATAGATGACGAAGGAAAAAGGATAGATTGAAGGAGAAACAAAGAAATACATAAAACAAAAGAGAAGAGGATAGATTGAAGGAGAACTCAGAAATACATAATGAAAGAGAAGAGAGGATAGGTTTAACCCGCATAACGAGTATGTACACATGCATGTACAGCTCCAGCAATCCAACAAAACACTTCTTCTTCTTGTTGATTTGTTTTTGTTTGGCAATCAGTCACAATTGACTATTTTTGCCACACACTATTTTATGAATTATTTATATATATATATATACGTATGTACAATTTCATGTCATAAATGACTATTTTTAGGATTCTTTCTCTTTCTAAGGGTAATGCTAGACTCTGTCTTTAGTCGTTTGCACAAAAGCTCACGTTAGAGCTAGAACGTGCTCATCACAGAATATGTTCTTTTAAGAGCTATAAGTTGTATTTTCTGTCGTTAGCGCGTGCTACAGTTTCACTTATTGTCATACCTTTTGTTTATTTGGCCAAGCCTTGATAATGCTGAAATATTGTTCAAGTGTTTTCTCTTTTGTTAACTTACTGCACAGTATGTTAACTGCAGAATACAAAAAGTTATTTTAAGAGCTATCATGTTGTTTTTTGCCATGAACGTGGTTACAGTTTCACTTATTGTCATACTTTTTTTATATTGCCTTTGATAATGCTGAAATATTGTTTAAGTATTTTTTTCTTTTGTAAACTTACTGCACAGTTTTTAAAACTATTTACATATTTATTGTGATTTCTAAATTTTCTTCAGTGCTTTTATTTTTGTATATACAATGGCAAACAAGAACATTTTAATTACTTTGAAGGATTAGAATAATAGATATTTTGAACATGAGCTGTAAAAAAACCCTCCACTAAGTGTGCATTGAATAGAATCCAGCAGTGATTGTAGAATATGAATACAAAAGCTCATTTTAAGAGTTAGAACAGGTTCAACGCAGAATACAAAAAGTTCTTTTAAGAGCTACCATGTTGTACTTTCTGTCATGAACGTGTGCTACAGTTAAATAAGTTCCAATTTTGATATGCAAACATGATTGATAATGGTTTATCGATTTTGAATGATTTTACATGTAATTGTAAAATGAAACGTACAAAAAAAAACGATTCCAGTTATATTGCAAACAAAATAAATTCAGTCATAACCATGGCGAAAGTGTCCATCTTTAAATTTGATTACTTTGTGCTATTCAACGTTTATTCTTATTTAGTTAGATTTGTTTATGGAAGAAATGTGTCTGAGAGAGTAATGTGTTAGAATGATAATGACAAGAAGATAGACACGCGACAGCAAAAGAGAGGTAACAAACGATTATGAAATGTGTTTAATGGAGAAAGAAAAAGAGAAATAGAGAGAGAGAGAGAGAAATAGAGAGAGAGAGAGAGAGAGAGAGAGAGAGAGAAAGAAAGAAAGAGAGAGAGAGAGAGAGAGAGAGCTAGTGAGAGAGAGACTGCATTCTGTGAAGGATTAAAGAAGAATTTCTGGATGGGGCAGAGTGATGTCAGTCGAATATTGAATATGGTGCTGTGAATAAGCTACGTAATACTATGACGAATACAGCTTTATGGAGGGGGGGGGGGGTGTTCATATTTGACGGAATAGTGTATACACAAGCGTAGTATTTCCGGACTCCCCTAAACAAGCAATGTCTATGAGCACAATTTGTTGATAATGATATCAATAGGAATGATTGCAATAATAATAATCATAAGATCATTATATATTTATTCTTGATATTATTATCATTATCTTATCATTCCCTTATCATGTTCTATGAGATTTTATATAGTGAGTAGAAACATTTGCAGTAAAGCAAGGGGAAAAAGACGTTTTCAGTGTCCCTCGAATAGGATGTAAAGCTAAGTTCACTTTATTAGAAGTTAGGTTTTCAAAATGGATTTACATCACATTCTCCTCCACAGGAGTTCAAAGACACCTTTTGTCTATTTTTCAATTTTTGGACTCAAGAGGGCGACAAACATAACTAAAAAACTTAAGATTATGATAGTTAACTCATTAAAGGCCGTCTGTACTGGTTTGGTTAAGAGGAATTAGACCACCCAGGAAGGTCACTGACAGGTGGCTATCTCATTAACTCAGCTCTCCATTAACATACGAAAAAGAGGATCGGGGGGGGGGGGGGCAATGGTCACCGATTATGCATTGTTTTCTATATAGAGGGAGCAAGTAGCTACAAGTAGTACAGTGGGCCTTTAATGTGCAAGAATTGAGCTTGTGAACAAAATATGTGTAGTTAAGAAGGTCATACTACTTCATCATAATTTTCCTCCATTGCACGACTACGCGCCGAGCGCGTTCGCGCCCTTCTGCTGGGAACAAATCTACGCTTTAGTGTAAATTTGTTCCCAGCAGAAGGGCATGAACGGAAAAAGTGCTTATATTTTTAAAAGTTTTGCACCATTTCTTATAATATTTAAGTTGATGATTCTTGAATAGGTATTTTATCATTGAGTGAAATTTAGAGACATTTAAAAAGTAATTACTTCAAGAATGTGCATTTCCTGCAATGAGGAGCATAATCTTCAAACGCGATTTTCTCGAAACGCGGTTTTTCGTGCGCACAAGCGTATACGCCCTTCTGCCGGGCACACGACGATATTGTACTTAGTTTGTATATATATTTCTACTACGTTAAAAAATGCAGAAATAACATCAATGAACAAACAAATTCAAATTATCATTCCTACAACGTCACTTTCTTACTAAACGCCAAGTTGTCAATGTATGACATGAATAATAATGTGTCAACGCTTCGGCGAATCGCGGCCAGCTATTTTAGTATTGAGGGGTCACTTGTATCTTGGAAAAGGGGAGGGTGGGGGGGGGGTGAATGCAATGCGGATGGGGAGGCGATAGCTCAGTCGATAGAGCAGTGGTCTCGTGACCCGGGTTCGAAACAAAGGCGATGTGCTAGTGCCCTTTGGTAAGGTATTAATCCTCATTACCAGGTCCCTCGGAGAGGACCTAAAGCCGTCGGCCGTCTGGTTGCTTACTTACAAGCATTTATGCTTTCTTAATTAATTAGCAGTCAGGTAAAAATAACCACAACGTACCATTCATTCATTCACTCATTAATCATAGATTCATCTCTGCATGTAGAGTCACCATGACCTCCGATTGGGGAGGAGGGTACGGCCGTACGGGGGTAAGTGTTTCATGATTTTCATCGTCTTTTCTCATCCTAGCTTCTCTCTCATCCTTTTCTTTCTCTCTCTTTCCCCTTCTATTTCTTCCCTCTTGTTCATGTTTTTTCGCCATTCGATTGGGGGAAAACATGTCCCCAAGTCACCCGTAGGCGTAGCGATGAATCTGTGTCAACGGAATAGAGTTCAACTTGTTAAGTATTAACATATTACATAATACATTAACGCCTAGTAGGCCTACATGTATAATGTAACAGGGCACTTTTACTGTCAAGTTAATACAAGGTAATTTTTGTTCTCTCATGTTTTTGCTAGTGCTAGTGCAAAAGTATGATTGAATTTTTACATATCAAAAGGAGAAAAGTTATAGTTTTGTTTAACACAGTCGAATTACACGCACAGAATAGACTGTCATTAACACGTGTGTCTGTCACTTGCATCAATTAACAAGGGCCTTCTTTTCTGGCAAAATTTCAACGATGGGAATTATTTTTGAACTATATATTTTGGAGTTTCATATAAAGTTCTGCTTCTGTTTGTTTACATGTACATGAGCCCACCACAAGAGGGCTGTCGATATCATTTTTGACAGACGTACGGTACGTACTAGGTACGTCGGTCGTCGTGTTACGTTACTGCCTTTTTTTTTTTATACCATAGGCCTACCGGTAAGCATTATCACACTTTTAATTGCTGTATAATCTAATTCATATCATAAATTAACATTGGCTTAACATTATAATGAGATATAGAACATGATTTGTGTGGGCTTCTCGTAAAATAAAACACTTCATTGAATAACTTGCGTGTAAATTCTAAGTCTACTCTAGAATCTAGGCCTAACCCCATCCCAGGGAGCTTCGCCGCCACGCCTTCGGCGGCAGAGCTCACTGGGTAGTGGAGGTATGGGAGGTGGAGTCCGGATCCCCCATAGACATTACACGCGATGAAATCGTACGAAGTGATCGGGCAGTGGCTTATTTCACGAGAATAGTAGATGTATAGTATTACTTGATACTTGATACTTGATGAGGTAATCCCTGAAGCAGCTTTTCCAAGCTATACTGGGATGGGATGTGTTGTGACAGCAGGTGAAGGTGTAGACCGAAAGCTTCAGTCTCTATACCGTCGGTTGTTCCACTGAGACTACGTCTGGCTCCACTAGACCTCCGGTTATAGAGACTGAACGATCGCCTATGCCAGCTTATGTTGAAGATATCACGGCTAGATTTTAGCCGTTAGGCCCCTCCCACAAACATGAACAAACTTGCCACGGCCGTATTGTTATGCCCCCAAAATCCCCCAAAATGTCATTTTACCTCGTGCATATCCAATTTTACATTAGGCCTAGGCTATAATACATTGATTCCACTTACTAACTTGATTGAAATAATCCGTTTAATGGTCCCTTTTAAGGAAATTATGGGTCAAAATCGACATCCATGTTGAAAATCTTGCAAGCCGTGTTAAACTCTCGCTGCCGTCAATCTCATCCCTTCTAGTCTACGCCGAAGGCAAAAATGATCATGAAGGAAAAACTGTGATAACGCCATTACGAACGTGTAGATGGCGCACAGTTTTTCCTTCATAATCATTTTGCCTTCGGCGTAGACTAGAAAGGATGAGATTGACGGCAGCGAGAGTTTAACACGGCTTGCAAGATTTTCAACATGGATGTCGATTTTGACCCATAATTTCCTTAAAAGGGACCATTAAACGGATTATTTCAATCAAGTTAGTAAGTGGAACCGATGTATTATAGCCTAGGCCTAATGTAAAATTGGATATGCACGAGGTAAAATGACATTTTGGGGGATTTTGGGGGCATAACAATACGGCCGTGGCAAGTTTGTTCATGTTTGTGGGAGGGGCCTAACGGCTAGAATCTAGCCGTGATATCTTCAACATAGGCTGGCATAGGCGATCATTCTGTCTCTAAAACCGGAGGTCTAGTGGAGCCAGACGTAGTCTCAGTGGAACAACCGACGGTATAGAGACTGAAGCTTTCGGTCTAGTGAAGGTGCAGACAACAAAAGGGTGTAGACTACAATTGCTTTATACAGTAAAATAGTGACGTGCAAGTAAAAATAATCATGCTGCTAGGCCTATATGGTTTACAGCATTCTGGAACCTACAGGAGGTTCCAACCCTCTGATGACAGGGAGGGCGGTCATCTGGAAAGCAGCAACTGTTGGGGCAGTAACTGCAGTGAATGGTAGTTGATTCCAGATGCGAATGGTGCGGGGGTAAAATGAGTACTTGTAGGAGTCGATTGTTGCCTCAGGGACAGAGAGCTTGAGTGTGTGGTCTCTTCTGCTGATGTATGTAGCTTTGGTTATGAGGTGAGGAAGACAAATGTTGACTAGCTGGTGGTGTATTTTAAAGAGCATGGTGCTTTGTGCTAGAAGACGACGTGTGTGCAGTTTATCCCATCCCAGCTGGGAAACAAACCCTGTAGCTGACGTGGATCTTCGGTAGTCGCGGAAGACAAAACGAGCAGCTGTTTTCTGTACCCTTTCCAGACCTTCGGCAGCACCAGAAGTGTGGGGGTTCCAGGCTTCAGCGCCATACTCTAGCTGCGGGCTGTGTATGCTGTTGACTTCACATCCTTGGTGCATGGTGACAGGGTTCTCCGCAGCAACCCAAGGGTTTTGTTGGCCTTGTTCAGTAGGAGTTGGCAGTGTGTATTCCAGCGAAGGTCCTTGGTTACTGTTACCCCGAGATACTTGTACTTGTCTATCCTGGGTATTATCTCGTTGGAAATCCGGTAGTCATGCTGTATTGGTGTTCTTTTCCTCGTGATCATGGAGGCGCACTTCTTGGCATTGTATTAGTATTATTATATAGATCTAGTATAGTAGATGTCACAGAATCTGTAATGTAAGGTTTCATCAGACATGCTGACAGAAGCTTGGAAGGAGACCATTGAAATGAGAGAATTAACAGAACTCGGCCCAAGACCTGGCATGAACATGATAATCGATATAAAGTCTATAAAGAGGCCTTTTTTATACGACTCAATCCACAACAAAGTTTCGCCAAAAAATCCAGTCTTTCAGGAGCCCCGATCGTCCCTATGGCCTGCCATGGTTATGACATGTAAACATGATGTAGGCCTAGGGTCTACAGCTACCCTAACTCCAGGAAGCTCCAACGCCGGAGTCTAAAACAAAAAACGTTGTGGCGACATTTTTCCCTAAGTGTGTAACGGTAGTAATTACAGATTCTGACTTACAGTGTTTTTGACTCCTCTGGGCATGTCGCACCACACAGAATATGCACGAGGTTGTGAAGGACCGAGGGACCTTTGAGTCGTGCATATTCAGCATTTTCGAGCGAACGGCGCTCTATTGCATGAATATCCATATTTGCTGCACCGCTACCGCGCATGTGTACTTTCTCTTCGCCATGTTGACGATACAATATGGATAGCTCGGTTAAGGACGAGGAATCACCCCTTTTCCCATCAAAGACTTCTTCAAATTATAATTTCAAGTGTGGTGCGACCAGAGGAGTCGAAAACACTGTAAGTCAGAATTTGTAATTACTACCGTTGCACACTTCAGGAAAAATGTCGCCACAACCGCTTTTTGATTTTTGTTTCAGAATTCGCACTGGAGCTCCGACGCCAGAGCTCCCTGGAGTTAGATGTTCCCAGACTAAGTTGTGTGTCTGGACAGTTGATTTAAAACTGTAATTTGAATAAGATTACCACTACCCGGTAATATTTTATTACTCTTTGTTAGAAAATACCTGTAAAACTAAAAGATAAATATATGATGGTTGGACGTAGTGCTATTTGATGCTTTTTATTAAATACAAAGGCAAAAGTGAATTCTTTATTGTGTGAAGCGTCCGTACACAACCCCGCAGGGTGAAGAGAGAAGTAAACAGATCTTGCATGTGTACCGTAATCACCAATTCCCGCACTTTACGTCGTTGCACACTAACTTTAACCCTTTTAAGTTTTATTTAATATAAACCTTTGCCTACAGGAACTGGGTGGCTACTGTATTAAGCCTATGGGGATGGATGAATTCAGTAGTCAAAGGGTTAAGATCGATCTATTGGAATGTCATCTAAAAGCCATTAGCACCAAAAGGTGGACCTGTGCGCTATACAAGTAGCCACTATTATTATTATACAGTTTCTATTTTGTAATAATCTCTCCTCTTTAATTATTTGCAGAGCTGTGTATCTGGACTGGATTCTTGTATTTCATGATTTGGGATTGAAACCTGTTGCAGCAGACATGGCATACAGTATGTATGTCTATATGGCCATGGCCATGGTGTTCATAGGATGTGCTGCTAATGTCTTCTTCTTAGAGCTTATAGTGAGGTGAGTAAAAGTCATCTTCAACTCTTTGTTTTCCTTGGGAGAGTTTATAAGTGATTTATTTTAAGAGAATGATTATGTATTTTTTACTCTAATCGAAAGTCAGGAAGAAGTAAAGTGTCACATCAGGAATGATACCTTAATTAAAAGGTGTGATGGGCATATATAGGACAAGAATTGAATTTCAATAGCTGGTATTTCATTTCACAAGCATTTACATAATGGTTGTATTTCTGTTAGTTTATTTTGGATTCTTGATTTTTTTTTTCTAACATTTTTGTAATGAGGAAGGAGTCAAGAATACAATTACATGTTTTTATATTTAATTCAAAATGGTTTGACCCATGTTATTGCTGCTTTAAGATACTGTCTAACTTTAATATAAAAACTATATATTGAAAATCTGTCCAAAAGGTTTGAGAAGGAAGATTTTTTATCAACATAACATTTTTTTTTCTACATTGTTCATTTTTATGGATATTTTCAAAGATACTTTTTCTTTCATTCTTTGACAAGTGATACACTTCAGCTATTTTCACACCCATTTCAAAATATTTTTAGTACCATTAATCAAAATGCCATTGAATTATATGAGCACAGTATTCAGATGATGACAGTACATTCAAGATACCTTTGAATTAAATATCCTGCTTATAGGAAACAAATTTAAGATTATGTCAGAACAAGTATATATATTATTGAAAATAATATCGCTAGTGATATCCGTTTGTCTCGCAATGTATGGTACACAAGGGATCAAAAGATCACAACTTTTCGTGCTCCGCTGCCAGGCGAGCCGAGTCAACGGCCCCGTTGACTGGTTGAGCACCTGTGTGCTTCGGCCAATAGGCCTCGTCCGTTATTGTTCTAATTATTGATTGAATTATTTACCGCCGGTCTACCCGTAGAATATAAAACACGCTTGCTTACAATATATTTTATCACCTGACGAAGTGTTGCAGCGGTGCATGAAACGTCATGATCTTTTGATCCCTTTTTGACCATACATGTACATTGCAAGACAAACGAATATCACTAGCGATATTATTTTTGATACTATAGCCGCAATGAGTAATATATTTAGCGCGCGTAACAGCTGCACTGCTTAAGCCAGGGTAATTATGCTGCATTATTGTAGAGCGCTTAGAGACTTCTGATAAAGTAAGTGTTAGGCGCTATATAAGCAAATATAATTATTATTATTATTAAGGATACATTTTCCTTCTAAATTTCTGTAAATTTAGATTGTATTTGTCATTGTTTACCATTACCATTACTGGGAAATCCAACAATTCTCGTAAGGTCTATTGCACTACTTGTATCACAATGGGATGCAGAATAAAACACAGGTACGGGACTTCTAATTTCACATTTCCTATTTCATTCTGCCCTAGCTGCCCTCTTCTCCTTTTCTAATTTGTTGTATCACTCTTTGATCTTTTAACAGTGAATTCCCAGGGAGCGGCAACATCATTACTTTTGCTCAGTTTCTTCTGATTGCTGTGGAAGGATTTGTGTTCACCACAAAATTTGGCACAAAGAGACCCATTATACCTATCAGGTAAGTACACTGACCTATGCTTAATGGGATTTTCCATTGATCAATATTGGTACAATTTGGATGCAATAATTATATGATATTGGATGGCTTTGGGTGTGATACAAGAATATATTGCTTGAGCTATGACAATATTAAACGAGTCAAAGATGAGTCCAATATTGTCATAGCAAGAGCATTATATTCTTGTATCACATGAAAACAAAGCCATATAATATAATTGATATTATCTATATCAAGCTGACTGCCGAAATAACAAAATTTGACTTACCCCGGATAATATGGCTTTGTTTTTGTGCAATATCGATATTTTAAGTTCCAGGATGACTGAGCAATATGAAAACAATATTGATCAGTCATCCGGGTACTGCGCTAAAGATATTGAATACACTGATTTATTGTACCATTGTAGCCTAAATACAGATAATAATTAATTTTATTGAGATTATTTAAGGATGACTCCATCCAATCAACATCTTTGTAACATTTCTCAAAGATATTTTGGTTAATTTGTATTTTCAATGCAGGAACTACTTCATAATGGTGGCATTTTTTTTTACACTAAGCGTAATCAACAACTACGCACTCAACTTTAAAATATCTGTTCCTCTACATACTATCTTCAGAAGTGTAAGTATGTGGAGATTCCACTTGAACTTCATAAAAAATCTTTTTATTTATATAAAAGCGCTACCATAATTATTGTTGCTAACTAAATCAGGTGAAAAGTTTTCCTTTTGATGGATCTGTAATTTTAGTAGCAGGAACATGTTCAGATTTTTGGTAGAAAACAAAGTAGTAATGTTTACAAAATAGATTCCCCTCAAATTTTTTTATTTGCATGTATGCATAGTCTTAAAAAAGCAATATGAGACCAAGTGTATGAGATACAAGCTTAGTTCAAGTTTACTTTTATTTTCATGAAATGAAATTTATTGCCCTTTGATATGTCCACTGGAAACCTCTCTTTTTCCATTGCTTTGTCATTTTACAGGGATCTCTTATAGCAAACATGATTCTTGGCATTTATATCTTACACAAACGGTGAGTAGCTGATTTCTTCAACTCTGGTGTCTTTTTTAAACAATTGTGACCACAATATCTATTTGATAAAAGAATCAATAACTGCAACCAGTATGAATATATATGACATTATTTGTACAGTAAATGGCAAGAAGTGAACAACTGCTGAAGAAAATGAAACCAAACTGCTGTACCCTGTTTTAGCACTTGGATAAGATGACTTTGTGTATGTTGACAGTTAGTATTTCTTTTTTCCGACTTGATTTCAGAATGAGATATTTTGATATCAAATCTTGTAAATATGTTTCATGTGTTGTCAGCCCCAAAAAGTAAATGCCTTTATCAATCTGAATTGATTCCATAACTATGTTATATTCTTTTCACTAATGAAGTAATGATTTTTGTGTAAGGTGATTTTATCCTTTTTTTCCCCTTTAATTTCTTCATGAATTCGTTAAGGTATGCTCCTTCCAAGTATGCAGCTATATGCATGATATCATCAGGAATCTTTCTGTGTACCCTAATGTCAGCCAAAAACGTGGTATGTAGAAATATTATTTATCTAATATTCAAGCAACTCATGTTCAAGTAATTTATCATTTATTGTTAAATGGAATGTTCAATTTGGATGCACATGTATGTAGTAAAGAGATGGTAATTCAAATTTTCAAGTCACCAAAGTTCTTGAACTGGATCAAAGGAGGACGATTTCAGCTGTATTAACATCACTATCACCCTCCTGGGCCCTGTTTCATAAAACTTGTCATCAGTAACAAGTTACAGTATACAAATATTGACTGCTCATGAGGATGATGGTGGGAACTATCACTCCCAAGGTGGTGTTCTCACCGGCCCTTCTATCAACCCCGAGGCGAAGCCGAGGGGGTGATAGAAGGGCCGGTGTGAACACCACCGAGGGAGTGGTAGTTCCCACCATCATCCGATTACAGAGCAGTCCATATTTGTTTTATATACCTCATCCTTTTTATTGATTCATGATTAGGTCTAGCTGTAGGTCTAGATCTAGCTCTAAAAAACAGGAAACGAGATCAAGAGGAATTTACTCACCAGAATAAGAAAAATCCAACATCAAGTCCACCAAGGCAAGAGTATAAAATTCCTATGCGCTGCGCGTAACCGCGCGATTGCGGTAGCCTAGCAACTCCAAAAATTTGTGTGCGCAACTAAGTCGCGAGAGGGGTTAGGGGTCCTATCCCAGGGTTTGATAGTAGCTATCAAACCCTCTGACGTAATGATACTTGATAGATCGAAATGCTCCTTGACATGTGATATAGTTTTGACCAATCAGTGAATGACAATCTGTGTATGAGGTATATAATAACTGTTATAAGCTACTGAAATCATGCCATTTGATTAGCTGAGAGCAAATTTGTCATAGAAATTTAGCATTTGTTATTGATGACAAGTTTTATGAAACGGGGCCCTGGCCTCCCCTTGTATTAAAAAAGGTGAAGGAGCAAAATAATAGTGGATTGTAATAGCAGAAATACCAGGTCAAAATCTCACATGGAGTTAAGGAAGAATACTGCTATTTCATTGATCATGTGATATTGATATGATTTTAATATTTTGAAAAATGCAGGGTGGCGAAGATCAACCAAAGACAGAAGGATTTGAATCTACATCAGATTTCATGTTATGGGTTATAGGTAAGATGACTAATCTCCTCTCTGCTTCTCTCTCTCTCTACCTCCACCTCCCTCTCGCTTTCTTGTCTCTCTCTCTCTCTCTCTCTCTGTCTCTCTCTTTTTGTCTGTCCATTGTTTTTAATTGTTGGTACATTCCCAAGAAAAGCTGTTCATATTTGGAGTTTGGAGTAAAAAGGAAAATGATTAAGTGACAGTATTATTGCTTTGATCAAGATATCACTAAGTATCTCTCAACATGTATATGCATTGTGATCAAAATAAATCTCAAGTACTGATAGTTGTGAGGCATTTATGTTGAGAAAGCTCTGTGTATGAGTTAGATCAGTGTGATATTGCATATTGTCATTGATTCAGAGTGCATTGTCATTCTTTTTTCACATATATTCTCACGACAGAGCAAACATCTAATATTTGAGCATGAAGATGTAAAGTAAACTGATTAGGCTGGGGAGAGGTTAGATGACGCAGCAAAAAGCCCAGACAGGGTCCTTTGTGTGTGACTGTAGATGCGAAGGTCGAGGGTTCGAATCCCGGCACGGCACTAATATCCTTTGGAAAGATATTTACCTGCACTTGCTACTCTCCAACCAGGTGTTAAATGGGTACCCGGTAGGATGCGAACGTTCATGTGGTTGGACGAGCAAGTCTGCGCTTGTAAAATGGCGACTGGCTGGAATGCTCCCCAGGGAGTGGAAAATGTGCACACATTGTGTGCGGGTAAGCCTGAGATTTTAGAGAGTTAATAATGTATTTATCTAATTTTCCTCATCAGGTCTAAGTATGTTGACCTTTGCTCTCGTACTGTCTGCTCGAATGGGAATCTTTCAAGAGATTCTTTACAAGGAACACGGCAAACATCCCAGAGAAGCTCTCTTCTATTCTGTAAGTAATCACGTATATCGAGGGGTCACCGACACAAAGATGTAACTCCATTTTGGCCATTTTGAGAAAAAGTGGTTTATGTGTCACTGAGCATTTGGGCCTTAAGGATTTAAGTCTGTGTTTCACTAGCCATTGACTTCAATGGGGTGTTGGGTGGAGTTATGTCTTTGTGTTTTCTGGAAAGCCCACATTTTTCTGAACATTTTGATAGCAAATACTCATTTTGGCAAAATATGGAGTTACGTCTTTGTGTCACTGAACCCTCAATATGGCACTTGAAAGTTTGTACTTTGAATTCATAGCTTAAAATACACACAACGAAAGTAAACAAATGTTGAGTGTTGCAGGTATATATAGGTTAGGAAGAGATAGGATGATAACAAGAACATTTTATTTGAGAGTCAAGATTCATGTATTTTACAAAAGTTGGTCCCTGCTTGAGAGTGTTATTCAAATGCAAACATAATATGTTGAAGAGAATATTTTGCTTCAACATATTTCCAGCCAGTGTTTATTGGGCTTGTTATTCATCATGTTAAAAATTCAGTATCATTTCGCATGTTGTGCAATGTAATATTGTTTGGTTGAACACTATCAAGCACCATTTAAAGATGAAGTTGAGTTCTGGTCATGCGATTGCATTGTGAAAGAAACGGTGTGGAACCGACCAGAAAAGGTTGATCATCTAGCATATAAGAATTTGTGTGTATTGCAAGGTTCTGGAATCATCAAAATGATTAGAAATTTGGCCAAGTCTTGGTAAAGTTACAAACACTTGCACAGAAAGATGTATATGGGACTACACGAACACGTGGCGTAAAAAGCCGGCCCCCCGATTTTTACGATGTTACATGCATATTTAGAATATGAAGGCATTTGAAGAGCCATGCTTTTCAGGAAACATGTCTTAACTGATGTTCTTCCACACTTGCATAATAAGAATGAGTAATGCTCACAAATTATTTTTCACCTCTTCCCAGAACTCAACCTTCTCTTTAACTTCAAGCATCATTTAACTTCAAGTACCATTCTACATCAAGAGCTCAAGAATTGTTTTATTTTCCATATATATTTTTACAAATCCTTCTCTAAAATGAATATAACACTTAATCTTTCTTTATATCGTACATGATCACAATAAATTGTTGAAACTTTCAGATATTAAGCCCCTCAGTTTGCTTTCATAATGTCCTTACTATATATATATATATATATATGGGGCCTGTCACCACGAAATGAGTCCAGTTGGTCAAAAATTGTATTCCTGTTTTTAAGTATTATATGAATCTACATTAAGTATAAGGGGTCACACATTAAAATTGATAAATTATATCCAGAAATATGAACAAAAACCTAATTGGACTTTATAACAATGGGGTTACCCAGTTTTGAGATAATTAGGTGTAAAGTTAATGATGTGTAACATATTATAGTCTGGTCAACAACAACATAGCAACAACACACTTCCCATCATTCGATTTCAATGAAACTTTCAACAAACAAAGAAATAATAAGTCAATTTTTGGAAAAATCTTAAATGTGGTAGGTGGGTCAATTTTCAGTACATACACACTATACATCGCTATTACTACGATTGAGCCTAATGCTACACTGGACTCATTTCGTGGTGACTGGCCCCATATATATATAAAAAGGTGATGTAAATGGGTACCTGGCAGGAATTAATTCCTTGAAATGCTAGAGCGCCATAAATGCAGCCATGCTAAGGTCGGGGTAATGACCGCTGAGCGCCAGGAGTGTCAAGTCTGACAGATATAAGCGTTATACAAGAACCCATTATTATTATTATATAGCCCCTTGTGGTTTAGTGTATAGTGACTGGTATCTAGCTAATAATTCCTGTCATGTCAGGTTAATTGTTTGTTACATGGTATTCTTGCTTCCCATAACATTAGACTTAACTAAGAGTATTGACTCTAATTTTGGGGAAATGGTCAACCATTGTTTGGACTTAGAGGAATTGATGTTATATAGCTGTACTAGGAAATAATAAGCTGTCAAATGAGGTCATCGTCACATCTTGACCAAGTTTAGTACATTGGTATCTTTAGGACTAAAAAGAACATTATTTTTTCCTTCATGAAGTACAAGAAAAGTGCAGACTTGAAGAGGATTAACCTTTGAAATCTTTGAGGAAAAAAAAAAGTTAGGAATGCCTAAATGTTCTGCAACACATGAAATCATGGTGCCAGTTTTGAACTTTGATTGTTGTGTATTTGTAAATGTAAATTTGTGGTGCATAACATGTCGCATTAGGATTCAATGTCCTTTTGCACTTCTAACTGTTGTGAGCAAGGAGTATGTATCATTGATGTTACAGTTGTATAAAAAGACCACTCAAGGGACACATGTATAGAGAAGTCTTTACAGACAGTAGGTCTTCTTGTAAAGGTTCCTTTAAAGCCCCACTGCACTACTTGTAGCTACTAGCTCCCTCTATATAGAAAACAATGCCTAAGCAGTATTCGCTGGTCCCCCATGATCCTCTTTTTTGTTAATTGAGAGCTGAGTTGATGAGATAACCAGCAGGATGGTCTAATCCCTCCTGGCCAAACTAGTGCAGACGGGCTTTAACACACAATTTTTTGTAATGATGCCTTTATTGACAAATGGTCTTTCTATACAGGTGGTTGCTAAAGCAGGTTTGACTATACATGATTTATAACTCTTGTTTGTATTGTTCTTTGATTCACCAGCATGCTCTGCCTCTGCCTGGGTTTCTTCTCATGGGTAGGGATATCTATCACCATGCTGTAATGTTCAGTGCTTCAGGTGAGTTCAACCTCCATACCATGACCACCCCAATACCAATAGAGAGGCCATAATAAACTCCCAGAATTAGTATTCTGTTATATCCTGTTTAAAATAAGAATTAATATTAGTATGTTTCATCATTCTATTTGTACTCAAACTAATTCAAATAATTCTTTAGGCATTTGATCATCAATCAATAATTTTTTTTTTGTGGGTTTACATTAGTATTCGCACAGGGAAAGAAGTTTTCAAGCCAAAATACTATTGTTTATAATGATTATGTAAAAATAATAGAAAAATCTAAACATTTTTGCATCACTAAATGAGTTTATAAAACAGTGCCTGTTTTATAAGGTAATGGTTAAGAAGATAATGTGCTGTAACTGATCGGTTTCATTCATGAAATTTTCAATTTAACGACATCCCTATTAAATAAGTTTGGTTGTGGTACACATAAACACTTCACAAGAATTTCTGGGACAGAAAAGTACAGTGGCATTTATCAGGTGATTGCACTTGTTATATTTACCCATATTCATAAGAGGTGTAAAAGCTTGCACATTTGCAGGTAATGCATGTCTTTATATGAGCATCATTTTAAGACTACCCCTACCAGCAGATGTTTAATTACCAATGTCCATTTAACATTGCATTTATAGATTTCCGGTAACCATATTTTGTAATTGTATTTATTTTTGTTCTTATTTCTCTGTGTTTTCATTCCTAGAACCTATTATGATTGGTCTTGGAATTTCTTTACCAAAGATGTGGCTTTATCTATTAGGGAATATGCTGACACAATATCCTTTTTGCTTCAATTAAGGTCACATTGTAATTCGAGAAAAGAGATCATCCTTGGGTTACTAAAGAACAAACCCAGAATGAAACAGTATTACGTCATATACGTAATTATAAAAATATATGTTATAATTTAAGACAGAATGACTGAGAGAGAGAGAGAGAGAGACAGACAGACAGACAGACATACATAAAGAAAGAGTAAGGGCAATGAAATGACATAGAGAGGAGAAAGAGAAGAGAGAGAGAGAGAGAGAGAGGGAGGAAAATTTGAAGGAGGTAGAGAAAGAGAAATTTAGGATTATGATGAAAGAAAGAGAGAGAGAGAGAGAGAGCAAGAGAGAGAAAGGAAATCAGAACAATAATGAGGGAGTGACCCAACAAAAGTGTAAAATTTTAAAATGACACAGAAACAATCTCCATCAAGGGAGAGCATGCGAAAGAATATCAGCTAGGTTTGTTTCTCACTGTTGAGGATACAGTAAAATTTATTACTGACACAGATCACATGACCCCAAGTGTACTACCTCAAATTAGACAGAATTTAAAACTAACATGTTTGAAACTGAAATGAAAATGTATTAGCGACTTTTGCTTCTGGATGGATGGAGTTGCAAAGAAAGTAAGGGGAGTGACCAAGTGTAAACTGCATATTTGCTTCCTTAACCTTTGACCTTACGTATATATGCATTCGTGGTGTGTTCATCCTGACCTCCGAGTGTCCATCCCTCATCACCACGCTGGTCGTCACCCTCCGCAAGTTTGTGAGCCTGGTCGCTTCCATCATCTACTTCCAGAACCCTTTCACCTTGTGGCATTGGTTTGGAACCGGCCTGGTCTTTGGGGGGACGCTTCTCTTCACCGGCGTCCTCCATCAGTTGAAGGATGCCATCTTCGTAGGACCTCCACCTAAGTCACAAGACAAGAAGGCAGAGTGATGGATGAAAGCGAAAGAGAGTGATGGTCGAGCTTCGTGGTTGAGAGTCGGCAGGTCCTGTGGTAAACTTTGTCCATTCCACATACGTTACGTTTGTACTGGTAATTCGAAAGATGAAGTACCACTGTTACTGGCATATGTTCTTGGCAATCACTGTCCAGTCCAAATTTATGTAGTTTTAACTTGCTTCATTCTCATGTATGAACCTACATGATAAAGGGTATTTGATTAAAACATTTTTTTTACACTGGGATTGAGAGTAATCAAGCAATCCGTCTGGTTATTGTGAAGAATTTGCTGAAAATTTTGCTAATTAGATAGTTTGGTAGATAGATAGATAGATTTATATTTTGTAATTTCATAATGCTTTAAGGGGAAGTCCACCCTGAAATTTTAGTTAGTTTTATTTAAAGGCCCACTGCACTACTTGTAGCTACTTGTGCCCTCTATATAACAAACAATGGCTTATCGGTGACCATTGGTCCCCCATGATCCTCTTTTTCTTATGTTAACTGAGAGCCGAGTTGATGAGATAACCACCTGTCCAGTGACCTTGCAGGGCGCTCTAATCCCTCCTGTAAACTATGGCAGATAAGCTTTAAAGCAAGAAAATGAGAGAAACATTTTGTTGAAAGTTTGAGTAAGATATAGTAAAATAAAGTTCTGAATTAGTGAAGTTGGCATCAGTGAAACAAAAACTCTATTAAAACTAACTTAATATCAGGGTGGACTTGCCCATTAATATGTGTGTGGGTTGTGCAGGTTTTGCATGCAATCGAGTCACAACTGAATTTTACTGACACAACGGACCCCATACTTTTTACACTTCTTTGTACTATTAATCTTAAAAACTGACTGCCTGATTATTTGGGAAAATATTTGTTTTTACAACTTTTTTATGTTGATTGGTTACCGGTATTTGGTTTAGATTGTTATAAATCGCATTCTAAATCTTTTGCTTTATTGACTTGAATCTTTGTTGATTCACACTCAGAAAATGATGTAATATTTGTAGAATGCTGCGACTCACTTTTTTAACTGCAATTCTACATATAAGTTGTGTTACAGGGAAATATATTAATGACAACAGGGAAAACGTGGAGGAATTAAAGATGTTTCTTGATTATTTGGGGACAAAAATAAATTGCAGTAAAAGCCAGTAATCTATTGTTGTGCATTTCTATCTCCTATACAACTACTTTTTATTTATCTGTTTCATTTTACATGCAGTCTGAAAAAAGAAAAAACAAGTAGGTGCTATACACTTTGATATCGAAAATAAGATAATCAATGTGCTGATATACCTATCTTCCAAAGGATGAAATTAGCAATGCAATATAACTTCTTCTCACCAAAAAAAAGAATATGTACAAATAAATTACATTTTTGCTCCTCTTTCATAAGTCAAGATGACTCTTATGGCAGTTTTCTTTCTGCCTGTGTACGTGTATACATCTGTTGATAAATGCAGTTTGATTTTGCAGCAACTGCTTATATCAAAAGTATGTGAAAAGGAGATTTAGTAAATTCCATGTTTATAAATCTCCATTTGATTCCATGTTAGCATAACATGGAATTATGTAGAGAACAGAGTAGATAAAATCTAGGAGGCATTAAATTAATTGTTTTTTCCTGAAAGATCATATTACATCAAGGATGTACCATATGAAAGATACGTATTAATCAATATTTTGTGATAATTACACTGTTTTATTTCAAATCCATAATTCAAATAATGATTCATTATCATGAAGTTTGATTCCTAAATTTTTATCTGATCTTGACCAAAGTTTACAGACAATCATCATTTTGTGAAAGAGAATAGTTGTGTGAATACATTATATGTTAAAGTGCCTTTTGATCTCTAGAATATGTATATAAGTTGATTAGTTATCAATTGTGCTCATATTATATTATGTTTATAATTTTTTGCAATTCTTTGAAGGCTTGTAATCTTTGCACTTTTGTATCGCTATCAATGTCAGGAGAACTACCTACGTACAATGTAAGAGTGCCAAGCTGTATAGTGATCATGTGACTAGGTATACAAAATGCTACAAATATATTATTGGATGAGGGCATTATGCAAGTGGTAGACTTGGTTTATGTGGCGCTTCTTCAAGTTTGTATTGTTAAGAACAAAGGAATGATCAAAGAATATATTTTAGTCTTTTTCATTAGAAATGACTGAAATTATTAACTGGTTACACATTGTAATACTTTATTGTGTGACAGTAAGAAGGTTGGACAAGCGGGTTTGCACTACATTGTTTGTACATATGTATAACAAAATTTGCTCTTTATATAAACAAAAAACAACTGAAGTTTGAATAAACTTATTGAGAAAAGCCAAATCAGCAGAAAATTGAATCTCAGGGTGTAATTGGTAGTAAATTATATAGTTAAATAGGTCTATTGCTTATATGGTAACAAGGTCATTTAAAGTTTTTTCTAGTTTTATTTAAGTCTCAGGGTATGATGGGAAATTAGTTATATAGGTAGATGGGTCTATTGCTTATATGGTAACAAGGTTGTGTCAAAAAATCTTCTAGATTTATTTATTTTTTAAACATCAGACGGACATTAAAAAAAAAAAAAAAATCTTTTGACATTGTATGGGAGAAGTGTTGTTATGGCCAGTAAATGTATGGCTGGCATTATGGTGATACACAAAATGCACTAATGTATCGTCTGTTTGGAGCCAAAAGGGCATTAACCCTTGTCCTTTAATACAGACTTAATGCCCTTCTGGCTCTGAATAGACAATATTGAGGGTTCAGTGACACAAAGACGTAACTCCATATTTTGCCAAAATGAGTATTTGATATAAAAATGTGGGCTTTCCAGGAAAAACAAAGACTTAACTCCAACCAACACCCCATTGAAGTCAATAGCTAGTGAAACATAGACTTAACTCCTTAAGGCCAAGTGCTCAGTGACACATAGACCGTTTTTTTTCTCAAAATTGCCAAAATGGAGTAACGTCTTTATGTCACTGACCCCTCGATATATATAGTTAACTCTTTGAAATTAATTTTATGATATCTTGTGCAACCTCAGAAATTTAACTTTATTGCTGCATGTTACACCACTCAACTCATGAGGCAAAGACTATTAAGACCATCAAGGTTGTGTGGAGAAGTCTTTGAAATGAACATGAATCATCTCTTTTAATCTATCATATTGTTTTATCTCATTAGAAGTGATTTCATTTTCATTTAACAAATAGTTCCAATGGATTCTATCTCGAGTTATCTTAGGCTTATTATGATTAAGGTTAACAATACATTGATGGAATCATGGAAGAAACAAACAGAAATCCATAAAATCAGGCCCAACAAAGACACATTCAAGTGGGTGTTTCACAAAGACTAAGGTCGACTTTAAGTTGGACTTAACTATGGCAGGCTGTTCATGCCACTGTTTGCTCTCGCCATTTATAAATAGTCTCTCAACGGACGTACAAATCATGGTCACAATTAAAATAAGAAAAAGATGATCATGGGGGACCAATGGTCACTGATGAGGTATTGGTTGCTCTAACGAGGGCCCAAGTAGCTATAAATAGTGCAGTGGGGCTTTAAGAAAGAAAGCATTGCTAGCACTAGAAAGACACCACAACTTGTATTAAAAATATTAAAGTCTTTCATAATTTCCTTTGTTTTAATATTTTATAACTGAAACCAGGGATTTTGTATACTTCTGGAACATTAGAAATGGCTTAATAGTATAGGTTTGCTATCCTATTTTTTGATGAAATTTTCTTAGCGTAAACTATAACCTTGTCAAATATTTGATACCTACAATTGTATAATAATTATGATAATAATAATTATCATTTGGTATATTTTGAAATAGGGAATCACGTTTTACAAGTTGTAAAAGGATTTTTGTAGCTTGTTTTCTGTTATGGTACATTGTTAGAATTTCTCTTTCCTTATTTTTTCAATTTTACAATATGTTGGTTAGAAAAATATTCCTAACTTTCAAACAAATATGATTGGACATTCTTTAACTTCTTTCAAACAAATTTGTCCAAATATTTTTTTTCTTGCATTAAAAGCCTTATGTATATTTGGTTAGAATTGGAAATGTTTAATCATGTCAACAGGACATCGATGAAAAACAGCTTTGCTGATTCGATTCTTTCTTTCTTATCTTGTATAAATACGTCAAATAAATAATAAAAATAACTTGAGTGCAATTTAGTCATTATAAACTGATGAGCTCTGTAAATTGAAATGGAATTTCAAGAAATGCACAAAAAAATATCATTCATTTATTGATGCACTCAATCAAATATAATTATCAATCGCTAACTCATCATTTCTTTGATCATGAAATAATTCAGATCATTTTAATTCCAGTATTAAAGTACTTGCAACATGCAATAATCTAATGAATTGATTGTCTCCAATTTTGTTTTTATCTGCATTGTTTGATATTTAATTTATGACCGATAATAATGTGTACATGTGATACAAAAACCTTCTGTACTTTCTATCTGTCTTAAGTCTTAATTTCTCTCTCTCTCTCTCTCTCTCTCTCCCTCTCTCTTATCCATGTCTCCCTTGCCCCGCCCCTTCTCTCTGTCTCTCTTTCTCTCTCTCTCTTTTTATCTCTCCCTCGCTCGCTCTCTCTTTCTCCCTGTGTCTCCCCCTCTCTCTCTGTTTCTTTATCTCTCTCTCTCTGTTTCTCTCTCTCTCCCACCCTCTCTCTTACTCTCTATTCAATCCTCCCTCCCTACCAGTAACCAGTTGACTCATCCCCAATCACAACCGTCATTGCCCAGGTCAGCTGTTCAGATAGAATTTCACGTCAGACATTCTTGAAATGCATCGCCCATCGTCACAGCCTTAACTACTTCCCTCCATTCGACATGTTCACGTACCTGCACCATCACCGATCGGTATACTGTTTTCCAACCAGTAGCAACTGAAACGCAGATTTTCCCATGCATGGTGATCAAAACCTGAATGAATGCCACAAAAGCGAGAATTTACTGGATTTTTATGATATAAATCAGAAGAAAAACACAATATAAAATTGGCATTCGTAAGGAGTTTAAACACACAAACATACAAAGACTTTTTAAAATATAAACGCGATCCAGGGAGATGGCTCCCTGTGCGATCCAAGGCCGTTTTAATAGTCTTATCTATCCCCTATTTGAAATATTCAAACATTACAATGACTTATGAAATGATAATTTCCCTGGGATATAAAATAGGGTTTTGAAATTGCCCTTCAGGGGATAACTCGAAAGTTTTTTGCGGTCGTGTTGCATCTATTGGTCTACAGTAAGTTGTTTGATTGGTTGCTAAGGCGTTCAGTCGATGGCATCCAGCATCCACCCCCGGCCCCTGGTAGGGTGTGGTTGGGCTAGCTGGTGATGCAGTTTAGCAGATGCTCTCTCTCTCACACACGATATGATAAACATGTATTGTACGTGATGATGAGGAGGATGGTAATGGCATTTGGCTTTGGAAGATGCAAACTCTTTGGATGAACCTTCTACCGTAGCTCATCTTTGACAACAATCGAATGCCAAGGTCTTGGACTATCTTCTCTTCTCTACATCGTTAAATGGTGGATTGCGGCCGCTTCCCATCTCTGCATCCCTCATTTTAATACTTTTGATCTAGGTCGGTGTATATTATCATCAGTGAAGCAAGATGGCGTTAATGAATAAATGTTTTTGTTGTGGATTAAGGAGTGGATCCATTATGAGTGCAATTTATTGTATGGTAAGAACAATTTCCTTATTTCTGTAATATTTTTTATAATGCAATAAGGGTGACCCTTATTTGTATTTTCACTTTCACACTGCTGGTTGATATGGCAATTTTCTGTCCTTTTAAAGGTAATAGAGCATACATTTCATGGTATACGATACGTTGACTTTATGTGACACTATTTAAAAAAAAAATCCAGAACAATAGTCTCTATTTTTTTAGTTTTATTGATATCCCTTAAGTATGTCACACATATTTTCGTTATCAATAGACCTATAAAATCGATATAGGCAACAAATCAGCCGCCCACTATTATAATAATAATAATAATTTTTTTCTCTAAAAAGCGAGCTTCACGAACATGAGTTTTAACAGTTTCCAAACACCTCCGCCCCGTATCTGACATTACTATATTCGGCTCTGGACAATTATACATTTTGGTAAGATGGTAGCCCACTCATTGTAAATATCGAACTAAGTATGTTGGCAGCACATGCCTAGTGTGAATTGCACATGACACAACAATAATGCAGAATTATCTTAGCTTTATAATAGCAGAGCCTATGTTAATGCGTCTACCCCTTTCCCCTGTGTTTTTCTTTTAAAGGGGATGGTTAACATAAACAAAGTATTAAGGCACTGATGTAAAAGAAAAACGGAATTGATATTAATGAAAAACAATACTTGCTTAAGAGAATGTAGAAAGTTGTAGGGGAGAGAGAGGGGGAGGGAGAGAAAGAGAGAGAGAGAGAGAGAGAGAGAGAGAGAGAAGAGAGAGAGAGAGAGAGAGAGAGAGAGAGAGAGAGAGAGAGAGAGATGGTTTGAGGTATTCGAGGAGTAGGATGAAGAGAATAATATGCATGTTTCATGATCGCGGGAGGTGAAGCCTGCCAGATTCCATTCCTCTTCGTTTCTAGCACTGGTAAATTTTCTCATGGACATGATGTATATCTCTGTGCACGAGCTACTTAGTATATGCTAGCTTTGGTATATGGATGATAGCCCAAGCGACAAGCTATCCCGAGAATTCGGCCTCATCCTTCATCCCACTGCGTCACGTCGAGATGAGAAGTACCCCCTGGGTATATAGAGGGAAGCATCGAGAGAAACATGGAAAACATATTTTAATAAAAGAAAACTCATAACTTTAATTCTTTAAAATAATATGTTGAGAAATACTCAAGTTTTATTCTGAAAAAAGCAATGCCTGTTCTAGTTTGGGGGATAAAATAACTTTGTAGTGCGGTAATATTTTCCTTAACTGTAATCGTGATATATTTTAGTCATATACACTGTGCAATAATAATATTATTAAAAATGAATCATGTTGTATTTATTTGTTATCAAATGATAACAAAATCTTTGTTATAATCATGTTTCAGTTTGTACAAATTATGGCTATGGAAAATGCTTTGCTTCTATGTTATGTACTAAAAAATAATTGGAGTTTTGAGAAATAAATTCAATGAAAGCAAAAAACAAGGAACAGAAGACATTTATGATAGACACACGTTCAGACTGGATAACGACGATGAATATAGCAGGAGGCGTGATGGCTCAGTGGTACAGCAGTGGTCTCGTAACTGCGAGGTCCTGGGTTCAAAACCAATTCGTTGCACTAGTGCTCTTTGGTAAGGCATTGATCCTCATTACCAGGTCCCTCGGAGAGGACCTAAAGCCGTCGGTCGTCTGGTTGCTTACTTACAAGCATTTATGCTTTCTTAGCAGTCAGGTAAAACAAAAATAACAACCAACCAATATCAATATAGACTGAAAATAAATGCAGATTCGGACTTAAAATAAAAGAATGATTATATTGGGCAAGTATGGAGTGAACATTAAGAGTGAGAGGGTGTGAAGAAAGAAAAAGTGAAAGAGAGCAAGATAAAAAGAGAGGCAGGGTAGAAGGGGAATGCGATCCATACACTTTTGACATTTACACGTCAGAAGTGTAATAATGAACATAATAAACATTTGTGACATCAGGAAACCATTACAGTTACACCGTACTCATAAGCAAAATACTAAATTAGTAAATATTCATCGGTATACGCCTACACGGATAACAAAATCTGTCGTCACAATCAGTACATGAATTGAGAGATGTTTACGTTTTCATGTAGACCAATATCGACAGCTTGCATATCATCTGATTACGCATCTGCATACGTGGGAGTGTGTTGAATTGATGCAATGTGACATGCCCTTTCTCTTACATGAGGCTGGAATGGGTATACTATCTATCTCCCGGATAACTACAATGGCAACACTATCCAAAACTAGATATTAAACGTATTATATAATTGTAACTTTAGAATGTCTAACTTTCCATATGCATAACGATTTACACATGTCGTATCCCTAACATTACATTCCTTCATAAAGACAGTGTCTTAGACCAGATTCAAAAAATTAAATGGAAGCTCTTATTACCGATTGTGAAAGAATGTGTTTTGACTAATACGTTATGATACCAATTTTGCCGGGAAACCGCCTACTAATTGATATATTTGGTAAATTATCATATCGATCTGGCCTGGATAGATATTGCGAATGAAGAAGAGATGTTGGTTGGTTGGTTGGTTGTTATTTTTTTTATCTGACTGCTAAGAAAGCATAAATGCTTGTAAGTAAGCAACCAGACGGCCGACGGCTTTAGGTCATCTCCGAGGGACCTGGTAATGAGGATTAATGCCTAATACCAAAGCATCGACTTGGTTTCGAACCCGGGTCAGCGGATTACGAGACCACTGCCCCCCCCCCCCCCCCCTCCTGTATGCACTTCAACATTGAACATTTGGGCATAATGTTTTTTGCGAATTTAGGTTGAATTATTTGCCATCTAAACCTCTGAAGGCAATATTTAAACAATATTGAATGGATATTTTGCACCCAAAACCCTTGAACCGCAATTTTACCACTACCGGTCTATACCTTTAAATATTTAATGATGCTCCTGTAGTCACACCAACGAGACCGACATTAGAGCGACAACAGACCGAACAAACAATTACATTAATTCGAATAGAAAAGAATCGGTCGGTTTGGATTTTGGGATCCATTTGGAGTCGGCTTAGCGGTGTGACTGAGGTTTATTGCCCATGAGTATGTTTTCAAAACATAATGATGGGTACATGTATTACGTGCGCCTGTTAACATGTTTTGTGAGAAGGGAGGAGGCCTATTACGAAGAGTGAATTGGTGGAATACCAAACTCATGTATGTTCAACCCGCTGTATTAACGATGATCGCCTCAGTAGATGGATGGTAGACTGATAGGAGGATGGGGACTAAATAAAAGATTGGAAATACATGGTTCATAGGAATGATTTAGAGGGGAGGGGAGGGTGTGGCATATAGAGAAACACAGAGAATTAACAAGAATAGTGATATTGATGATAGTAATAATAACAATAATAATAACAATAATAATGATGTTAATGATAACAACAACAACGACGACGACGATAATGAAATTCTCGATATAATTATGGTGTTTAATACCAGAAACAGGAAATATAATCGTCTTAGAAAAGAAAATGGGAAGATGAATTAAGAATAATACAAGGTGAAGATGTGGATGGAGTTGGAAAGAAAAAAGCGGACAGAAAAATAGGAAATACACCAAAAGTTTCTTTCTACCAATTACGAGTGGGTTAGATGATTTGAATCAGAAAAACGACGTTATTTTCGGATATATCTTTACCAAGAATCTATTTTGTTACCCTTCATGTCAATCTATTATACAGTACTAATCTATCGCTTTCTTTTCTCTGGTACAGATCTTTTCTGGAATTTCGGTGGCACTTGCGGCGTACTACGTCTTCAAGCATGGAACCCTTAGTGAGTGGCTAATTCGTTTCTTTTGTAAACTATAAACAACGGTTGGACATCGATATCAATATTTCACATCCCTATAGATTTTTAGAGAATGTCAAATTCGAATAATATGTTTCAAAGTTGCATCCCTTCATCGGATCGTGTATTCAATAAAAATCTGCTTTAAAAAATATTTTTTGACTTACAATAATGATTTTTGTAGAGAAATGTTTGACTTGCACCTAGTATAGATAAAGATCGCGTGCTTGATCTTGTAGTTGAAAACAGGTCAGAAACAAAACATTGGAACCAGCGGGATTTGAACCTGCCATCTACTGCTAGCCGGGAAGCGACTCTACCACCAGGCCTTCTATAAAAACTACTTCCGTTTACCAGGAGGGTACTATCACATTAGAATAGCGAATGTATCTGTCATATTCATATTATTGTAAAATCATGTTTTAAATCGTATACCGTTCACTTTTCTTCTGTCATTCAGGTTCTGGCGAAACAAGTGTCTTCGTCATCAACGCCCTCGAAATCATTTTCTTCATCACTATCCTCATCGTCTCAATCCTCCTACTCTGCGCTATTTTTCGGGTAAGAATCATCAACAACAATTCAAATTGTTGATGTCCAGGTAAACCTCATCGCAACCACTAACGTAATTAGTGATTGGAGGGGACAAAGGGCAAGGAGGGGGTGGATAGTTTACCCCCTGATAACCTATACATGAAAGAGAAAATAATTCTTGATTTTCGAGTGAGGTAAAGGGAGAAGGTAAATAATCTCTTAATTACTGAGTATAGGTTATGAAGCCATACTTAAATATTAGGCTGTAATTACAAGCATTTTGCTTTTGAGGATAATCCACCCTTTTATAATATATTGTAATTCTATTGCTGTTGTCAATTTGTCCCTGTACCATATTTGTTTTAAAACATGTAAAATGGAGATCAGTACAATTGAATTGAACTGAACCTTGATTACACACAATAATATTTACCATTTTCAAAAAATTGTTCTTTTGGGATGCAGGAAGCGCCTAAATTCTTCATCCCTTTCATCATAGTGATGTTTATCTTCGTCATCATACAAACCATCAGTCTCATCATCATCATTGTTAATCTGGTAAGTTTTCGCAGAAAGTACAATCAAACTACCACAATCGAAGCCAAGGTTTTTTTTTTATATCATATTTGATATTTTGTTGGTGAGGGGGAGGAGGGGGGGGTGGGGGGACACGAACCTAAATTGGTGCAGATTCTCTTTAAATTCTTCTCTGTATGCTTAAGGTATGCCAGATTGGCAGGAGCCCCCCTCCCCCCCCCCAACGATTGTTACTTGACGTATTTGATCTGGTTCGGAATGATGAGGGAACAGTCTCTTATGTACAAAGACCTGACCCGCAATCAAAGTTTCCTTTTCTAAAAGAAAGATACTAAATGTTTATAAAAGTGATTAGGATTCCAAAGATGAAAATAACAAGATGAAGTTCTTAAATCTCATTTTCTGTGAGAACTGATCGTGTTAAAATGTTTCAAGAACTACATGTATATTAAAGCTGAATAATAATAATTAGTGGAGAATAATGACGTTTGTCAAAGGGGTCAAAAAAGATATCTCTATAAAAGCTCGAACTATTGTCGTAATCCCCCCCTCTCTCTCTCTCTCTCTCTCTCTCTCTTCCTTCGTTGTTTGATTACAGGCGATGAATGGTTTCGATGGAATGGACTTCTTTTTCATCCTGTACAACATCTTGTGTTTGGTCATTAATGTAAGTCCATCGGTTAATAATTATATTGATCACTTATCTTTTGCCATTTTTATTATCATGAATATTAGATTAATACGCAGGTATTAATGATATATATATATATATGTTTTTTACAGATCTTGGTTATGTCTCACATTTACCATGTTTGTCAACGTTGTAGTAGAGAAAAGTCTTTAACATGTTTTCATCTGAAATTAATCGAAGTGATGATATGAAGTTGCAATTTGATAAATCAATCAGCCATTTCCCCGTCGAATCGTTGATGTTTGTAATATACGCCAATTAGGGACGGAAAATTTAGCATGTCGGATTAAGATACAGACTCAGAGTAATAATACGTTTGTATTTACATTTTATTTTTCTGTTTAGATCCTGTGCGTAGTTTGTGTGACGTCATACTATCAGGTGTCACGTGACAGCGTCGATGCCGCCGCTCCTGCCGCCAATTACGCATAGACCTCACCATCATAGACTCGGTCCTCTTCTTTATTTTCTTTAAAATGTCTTTTTGTTGAAGTTGATGAAGCCATGAGCAGTGATAAAATTTGATCCCGGTGAAGTGATCCCCGCCCCTCCCCACTCAAAACTTAAAATAAGATTTTTCAAACATCAGGTGACATGATGGTATGAAACTAAAGTTGTTAAAAGATACTGTCAGGGACGTAGGCCTATATTATAATGTAGCGCCAAAGGGACAATATAACATTCATAAGGGTTTCTGTCGTAGTCGAGAGAAGAGATTGGAAATAGGGAGAGAGAGAGAGAGAGAGAGAGAGAGAGAGAGAGAGAAGTAGAGAGAGAGAGGGGGAGGGGTGGGGGAGAGAGAGAAGGTGGTGGGAAAGGAAAAAGGAGGAGACATGAGACCTATGCCCCGAATGGAGTTGGCTAAAATATTTGTAATTATCCTCACCGTTACACATTATTATAAAAAAACACTTGAAATATGACAAACCAGGGGGACGTTTCATGAAACAATAATAGTCGGTGATTTTCACCGACTAATGTCATGTTCACCGACAATTCTTTGGTCACGGACTATTTTCCAGGCTTGTGATTGGTCAAATTTAGTCAGCGCTGACTAAAATAGATCTCGCTTAGGGGACCTATAGCATTATACTTCAACCACTGAGGAAGTGCCCCGCCAACGATTGGACTGCCGCTGCTGTATCATGTGGGAAAAAATCCTGAGCTCCCCCTTTGCAATGTTCCCGGTATCTGTAAAGATGGTGGTTGACCGTCAGTTCTGCGTTTGTAACGATTTGAACTGCGTTTTATTTATCATTTTATAACTATTGATCTACTTATTCCTTTATTTATTTATTTATTTATTTATTTTTTTTTTTTTTTTTTTGGGGGGGGGAGCCATATGATTGGGAATAAGGGGTGGACGATAGATCTACTTCAATACTTCCGCAGTCAAATAAAGTGAAATTAAGTGCCTATTGTCATTATTATTACTACGTGTGACCAAACTTTTAAAAATTCTTTTGATTCATTTTATTTTAATTTTCAGTGCATTTGCAATTTTTTTTTATATTTCATAAAAATCATTTGATTTTGAGTTCACGTTTTGTATTTTGGTTACTTCATGATTATATGCGTTCCCTTTTTTCTCACTCAAATTGTTCATTCGAATACAGATATTTCACTTCAAAAATGATATCAAGAAAGAGCGAGTTTCAAACAAACTACATGTATAAGAAAAAATATCATTATAATTAAAATTAATATAAAATACTGCTCACTGTTTTTATTGGAGATTTTGAAGAAAATGAGTATTGGTTTATTAGTGAAATTGAAATAATTGTTATTCTTTGTCTTCTCGCCTTTTCGGAAAACGCAATTAGAATGCTCTAATTATCATCAAAATCCATGTTTTTGAAGAAAAATACATTCTTGTTATTCGTTTTTTTGTTGTTGTCTTACTTTGTTGTCTGAAGTGGACATTTCCTAATCCCCAAATTGCAGTTTTCCACTGTGCCCCTTTCTCTCTGCCTCTCTCTGACTCTGTCTCTCTCTCTCTCTCTCTATGTCTCTCTCTTTCTCTCTGTATATGCCTCTATCTCTCTGCATGTCTCTATTTCAACTCTACACGCTTCTCTTTCACCACATTTTGTTTCTGCATCTGGCTCATCACGTGTCTATGATGATGATGATGCAAGATGATGATGACGTTGATGACGACGATGATCAGAAAATGACAACATTAATGATGATGATGATAATGTTGGTGACAATGATGATAATGTTGATGATGATGGAGATTGTGTATATAGAAAATGAAGCCATGATAAAACAGTGTCTAACATGGTAGATAAATGTTTCATTCTGCATTCTAATCAGATAACATAGACAAAAATGTAGGAAACTTTGAACAACATTTTACTGTAAGGTGCATTATTCGACTTAAATAGAAACAACCACTTTGAAGGTTTTATGCATCTAATTACTAACAACAATTTGAACAATGCTTTGAAAATATTAGTTGGCGTTGCAGCTGACAGTGCTCAAAATACAATCGAAAGCTGGCGCTCTTCAATTCAATATTTAGACGAACGTCGAGCATCTGAGTAAGGAGTTAAGATCCTTACTCCTTAGACTGAGCAAACGTGTATCACATGATGCAGTCTTGAGCTTCGAAAAAAAATCGTTCAGTCTTAAAGATATTGACAGCCATCCTTGGGTATTCCGTAGCTGCAGCAAAGGAAAATATGTTGCCCTAGTTAGAGGAATGCATTACTTCTAAAAGGAAAGTCACTCACAGTCATGACCGTTTCAAAAATTTATGTCAAAGTATCAATCAAATTTTATCGGATGATCATTGGCACTGTTTCCCTTCTGTGGTTCCAGAGTTGGCATAGGAGAAACAAATTCCCATTATAGTCAACTAATTAAGGAAACCAAGTCTCTCCTAGTATCAACATAATTAATTTGAGTACCAGTTCCCTTTCAACTCTCGCAACCGTCAATATCGACCTATCATATCAGTGACACAGGCTTCATGGTTCCGACCAAGAAGTAAAATCGTGATAATGCCAATATTTCATCCCCATGCCTATATCGTCTGACACAATTCCCTGTTCATGTATCCAGACTTTCCATCCACAATATGGATATCCCTTCATAAAGTTCTTCAGACGGCTTCAGATAGAGTACTTCATTCCGATGAATAGTTACTGTTGATGCCTTCTTTCATCTTGTCAATGTTCGGCATGCTTTTATCCTTGTCCGGTTGCGCACCTTCGGATTTTTCTCTCGACACAGCTGTACATGAAAATCCCAAACAAAGCAAAGGTTAAGAAGTTTCAACACTTTTTGTATTCGAAAGAATAACGCTTTCACATTTCAGTTAAAACATATTATGTGCCCCCCCCCCCTAAAACAAAAACAAAAAATAAATATAAAACAACGTCTGGGATATGATTTTTTTTCTTCAAAGTAGGTTATTTTCATCATATGGGTGCTGTTAAATTTAATTTACACATAAACTACATTTTCGTCACCCTTTCGATTAGATAGCTGATTGTAATTTTATGAAGAGTTTCCATAGCTGGAGGAGAGACCTACTGTACAGATATATTGGCTTCTTCATTATAAAACAAAAATACATTATTTGTTAAATATGCAATCGCCAATAAAATGTTAAATGGGCCAACAAATATATAAAAGTGTATTTTGGGGACAATAACCCCCTTTGTCCCTTGACTTTTTAGGTAGATTATAGATATCGGCTTACTATTTTGTCATTGTTTTGATAAAATGAAAAGAAACGTGCATTTACTTACGGTACTGACAAATATCACCAAACCAGTTCCGATAACACTTGCATTTTCCTGGTGCTATGCAACGACCGTGGTTGAAACAGTTATCCCTACATGATGCTAAAAGTTAGAAACGATAAAGAGAAAGGTTGAAATTAATAAGAGGGAAACGGGCCTACATAAGTATATGTTTTGTTTTTAAAAGGATATCTCACTTACTAAGCAGAGTCAAAATGAATATACATATCATCTTTAAAGATCAATACATGATACTCATATTGTTCTTTCAATCATATACTTATTAATAATATTCAAAACGCTTCTCATGGAATTTATTTTGCTCCATACGGAAATAGAACACTCTCAAACTCTCAGTTTTCTTGATTAAGGCTACTAGTACAACACTCAATCTATCTTTCTTTAATCAGGACCCTATATTGCCTCAAATGATGTCAATATACATTAAAATTTATTTAAAAGAAAGGGCAGATGAATTTAAAAAAGTAAATCGGCAGGATACCTAAATGGCAGATTTTTCCGCTGAATCCTTCTGGGCATGCGCAGAGTCCCGGCTTGATGCAGGTACCACCATTGTAGCAATGTGGAATACAAAGAGCTGTATAGACAGGAAATCGAATTTGAGAAAATGATGATGACTGCTAAATCTATTTATTATTCAATTTTCAACTGCGATTGTGTTGACATTAGATGATTCTCCATAGATATGAGACATTGGTGGTCGAAATGAATCACTCACAATTTATTCTCTTCTCCCCTTTCCGAAATAATGTTGCTTAAATCGTGCTGATTAAAATAATGATCCTCTTCCTTGTACATGTGACGAATACAATCTTCAAAAGAAAATGATCATATAAATCGCCTGAATCTCGAGGATGTCCTCGCTGAACTTAACATTCATGATTTGCAATGTTTGAAAGATCAAAAAAGATATGAATTGATCTAGATCAGTAAGGCAATTATTTATTTATCTGACATAAGGTCAAACCGAAACCATGACGAAACGGGATGCAAGAAATAAGTGTAATGTATTTAAATTAAATTGTTGATAGTAAAGATTCATATTCATCAGGAGATGAGTGAAGGGAGCAAGCATGAAATAGATTAATGCACATTTAATAACGTTGGAGTGTTTAAATTTGCTAATTAAATGTACTAAAGGGGTGGAAGAGAGGGGGAAACGATGGGAAAAGAGTGAGTTGGTAAAGAGGGGGAGAGAAAAGATAGAGAGTAAGCTAGGGAAACAGAGAGCAAGAGCGAGAAGGGGTGAGAACTATTCAAGGTGGAAGAGAGGAGAAAACAATGGGGAAAGAGTGAGTGGGTAGAGAAGGGAAAAAAGAAGAAAAATAAGCGAGAGAATCAGAGAGAGAGAAAGAGAGAGAGATGGGATTGGGGTGAGAACAGCGGCACTATTAAAGGGGGGGAGGGGTAGAGTAAGATGATTTCTGGTAGAGTGTAGAATGGGGGGGGGGGTAAAAGGTATATATACATACGTTGTGAACATCGCAGACCGTAGTACCCCTCCTTACAATCACATCTCCCTTCTGGACTGCACACGCCCCCCTCTAAACATGGCGGATGGCAGACTTCGATTGTGGATGTAGACACACCCTCATCTTTCCAGACACAAGAAATGGGGGGAAATGCGAAAATTTGGGAAAACATGAAATTTTCTAAGGAAACTATACTTGATTAATGTTAACATTTTAGTTCGATGAGGCCCCGATCGTGGATGATAATTGATAATGACAACCCTTTGTCACGTGATCACAACAATTCCGTCCCTTGGGGAAATTATTAATCGGTTTTTGCTCAAACTTTCAATGACCTATTCCCTCTTATTTTTCTGCTTTCATTAAAACCAAGTTAATATCAGGGTGGACATCCCCTTTACGAGGGTATATTCTTTAGTCGGGTCTAATTATGAAGCAATGAAAACGGTAAAATCTTATCAAATCTACATTGAAACATACACTCATGTTTCGCAATGATAACCTCTCAAAACTTACATTTCTCGCATTCTTTTTCTATCTGGAAGTTGAGTGGTGATGCTTTGATGTCTTGGCCATCGTAGTTTTCGGTCTGAAATCGAAGACGAAAACTGACAAGAGCTGAGCCTACTCCTTTTCCCGTGCATGGAAACTCCACACTAAATACTGACAAAAGGAGAAGAAAATGATTTAAAATCTCAATTTTCGGTGAAATTATGTGATCACTTATATAAAGCATCATTAACACACACATCAATATTTTGTTCGTGTCAAATAAAATACAGTAAGAACAAAAGTACAATTTTTTTAATTAAAAAAAAAAAAATTATTATTATTATTATTATTATTATTATTATTATTATTATTGTTGTTTTTTTTTTTTTTTTTTTTTTTTTTTTTTGGGGGGGGGGGGGACTTTACAACACATCACAGAAAGATAAATAGTATTTAGTCAATTGCAATATACATAAACATGTTTTTAAAAGAGAAATTAAGCCTCTCCATGTTGTGGACGAGAAAAACAGAACATCATAAATTATTCATTTACATTTGTATCTAATTATCCAAGAGAAAACGAAATAATGATACGCAATGTCAGTTCAACCCCCCCCCCCCCCCCCCCATGCTCCGAACACTTCGTGACTTTTTTATAAAACATCATGTGTCAATTTTGTGTGCCATACTATTATTATTAATATAGTTTAAGCGCTCCTCTAATCGAGAGAGAAAACAAAACAAGAGAATAATCATTCATATCATCCTACAATTAAATTGCATTGTCTAATTTTTTGTAGCATGTTCCATAATCTCGCAATTTAATTTATATCACAATTCTGTTAAATAATACAAAATCATAATCAGATTGATTTTGGCACGTTATGTAATGTATTAGTGATCTCACCTGTATGTCTTGATGGTACTCTGCCCTTGATTGGTATACTGAAGACAGGGTAGCCTACAAGCTTCGGTTGCTTGTAGTCACATCTTCAATCGAGTAATGATACTATACGAGAATTGAAGAAAATAAAGCAGAACAATGTTGTTAACAAAAGTTTTAAAAAAGGATGGTAATGTCCATAACAGCAAATAATTATATCATATTCATGAGATTTGTTATTAATTGGTGATTCATGACTTCATGAGATTTATTATAAGGAACTAACATTATTGTTTTATGATAAATTGATGATCAGATATATTATGCTAGAACTCTACAGTGGTATATAGTTATATACAGTATATGCTGATACATGCCAAACATTAATGTCTATCTGGTCAGGCTGTCTATTATTTAATCTATTATATTTTACTGTGTAATAAATACATATTAAATATATCAAACATGTAGTAAACAATAGCAACGAAAAACATTTTAATAAAAGAATATCAAGAAATCAAAAGAAATGTTAACACATTTATCCTACAATATTATTATAGGCCTACATGTAGAAAAATATCTAAAAAGACGGAGGATCAATGTACGTGATTAAGAAAATGAATCAGCCCCTTCAGACCGGGCGCACATGAAGATATCATGTGATTTCAAACGGAAGAGATGTTGTGATAAGAATTACGAATGTCTTCGACTATTTCCATAAATGAATAACTCGGAAATCATCAAGGCGTATCTGAATCTTGAGTAGCCATCAAAACGGAAATGCATCAGTCAACAAAACCGATTAATACCTCATTCGGATGACAATATAACGCAAGTCTGAACGAATTTCCCCTTTCTTTAAAGATACTATGTCCCTTTTGTAGAACTTTGCATGTATAATGAATATGTCATGTATGTCCTATCTGTGAAATTTAAACGTTAGCAGTGTCCGAATATTCAAATTATGCAAGGAAACCCGTTTACTATTGAGTAACTGACTGACTGACTTTTTTTTCCATCTTTGGTAATAACATACATAAAATGAGCTGTAAAGGGTACATGAGCATTGTCTACATCAATAACCCACTTCTTGTAATGGCCCAAATTAAACTGATTGAATCTTTGTGCATCATAAAACGTACGACTATTCGGTACAATGGTGTGAAAAGCAGACTATTACTTACTGGCTCTATAGCTCCTAAGTCGATTCGACAACTAATAGTCGTTATTTTCCCACTTAAAGACATTTTCAAGCCCCCTCTTTTTTAGGGAAGTTCTTAATTAGTATTGTCTTTCAAATGTCGTTGGAATTTAACCTTTTCATTTTTTGGCCTGCAAATGGGACATAGTACCTTTAAACTAAATCTGTATTTGTTTTATATCTAATCCTCAAGACGTTTTGGACTGCAATGGCATGACCCCCACACTTTCATCAGTCAGCCGACATCTTCGATACGTAAGAGAGGAAACAGTCAGCAGACGACACGGTTTGGGCGGGAAATGAGATGTTTCCACGCGTCAAGTTCACACGTAAGCTGCGATCATAACGCCGCCTGCGTTACCAGGCGTCCCATTTTCTTGTCAAAACATTTACAATTCTAATCCAATGCGGACAGGCGATGTTTCGGAAGATTAATTTAGATAATTTTTCATGGACTAATGATTATTGTAACAAAAAGTCGATTACAGATGTGTGCAGTAAGAAATGATTTCCCTTTCCAAAGAAGCAATTATAAATTGACATTGAAACATTAACAAACAAGACTTAGGGAATGTAAGGACCCATTCACTGTTCGTCTTTTATCAAGAAGACTTTCCATCTGAGAGCTTTCACCAAGAAAGAGAGAACCCAGGTTCACGATGATTAAGTCTTCACTCATAATGGTAAAAGAGTGTTTCACAATACAGACTTGAAAAAAAAAACACTTAGGGCCGGCCTATACGTGCTATGAATATCAGTCCTCATTGATTATTTTATAATACTTTGTTACCATTAGCAAACATGTTTCATTTTGATTCAATAATAATGACATTAGATTAATTCAGAAAGAAGACAAAGACCACCATCCCTTACCCCCCCCCTCTCTCTCTCTCTCTGCACCAGTGGCGGATCCAGGGGGAGGGGGCCGGGGGCCCGGTCCCCCCCCCTGGAAAAAAAGTGTCAAAACACGTGATTTTTTACCTTTTTTGGGGATGGCCCCCCCCCCCCCTGGCGCTCAAAGGGGGGGGGGGGGGGGTGCAAATTTTTAAATTTTCGAGGACCCCAAAAAAATGTGCTCACTACCCCCCCCCCCCCCCCCCCCCTCCCCCTACCGAGCGAATTTTCGGCCGGCGCGATTTTCAAATTTTCGGGAGCGAAAAAAAAAAGAAAAAAAGTTGGGCCCCCCCTCCCCTAAAAAATCCTGGATCCGCGCCTGCTCTGCACATAAGTACAATCATGACTAAAGACCAATTTATTCATGCAATGCTTGTTCAAGAGAGTCAACAAGGGGATATGTCCTTACTCTCATCATTCACCCCCTCGACTGAGAGTGGGTTAAGGATAAACATTTGCTTCATAAATATTACTGTGTCACTCCAACCTCTCACTAATCAGTCACATCAAGAGATGTGTGTCCATGTTAGCACGACATGCAACGCCAACATTATAGCAAGCATTCCTCAACGCTTCTACGTTTAGGTTAAACAAGAGCAGATTTGATTGTGAAGTTCGTGGGTGTATTTGTCGGGGGGAAATTGGCAAGTAAAAAAAACGAATGTTGTAGACCCTTGTCATACAATGTGAATGTCAATATTGTAAATCATAGTGTTTGATAAAGTACATTCCGTGATGATATGAATAACATGTTTTTATTGTTATTCATAACTATAATTCCTCATCGTTACTGTACGTAAACAGTGATGAGTTACAATGTTTCTTGATCCAAGAAATTAATGTAAAAAGAAAAACAACTATCAATTTGATGATGAATAAACTTTGCAGTACCCTAGCCGTGCCCGGTCAAGTCAGAGATTGCAATGGTTTGTGCGTGAAGTTGCATTTTGGTCGCCATACAATAAAGCAAAATTAAATGCCTAATATGTGGTAATATCGTGTAAAGAATGGGAATTTAAACAAACCGCGTTGCTCCAGGAAATATTGGGACACGAGCACCTGAACCAAACGACGGAAAAAATGGAAAACGAAAAACGGAGAAGGAAAAGTAAACATAAAAAGAAGACTGAACGACTCCACCGATATCCTTCCCCTCATCGAGACCATTTCATCATGGACCCTACTGATTTCATTCACTGACTATAAGAACGGTCTCTGGTGTCCCCGCCCCTCATGGCGGTGCCCCTTATGGCGGTGCCCCCTTAATCTCGCGACACACGCTACGCTAAACCCAAACGAATGATGCAGACAAGCTTTACTAGTATATCTGGAAAGTTTAAGGGTCGGGAGAGGAATAAAAAACCCACTTGGCCAAATTGGCTATTTATACATCCCATCCCAATAACCCAATCAATAGAGAAACATTTCAAGTAAACTGGGTTTGATTATAGAATTCCAACTGCTTCTACATGTTTTAAAGAATGGTAGAGTAATAAGTCACCCAAGAGGGGCACACGAAGGAAATTAAATGGATTTCTTGATTCACATTCAAGATGGTGCATTGCCCTGGTTCTGATTCGAAGTAATTGAGCTTACACCAAAGATTGAATGTGTTTGTAATGTTCGTGCAAATTGATTTACTCCTGTAACTCGAGGTAGAATTATCCCGGTGAAATTAGATTTATTGTCGGCAATGCGAAAAGGTATGTGACCGTGGACCTACGGGAGAGAAGGCACATGATGTGATTCGGTTCGATGTTTGCAGTTAACATTTAAAAGGCAGTAGAATTAAAGGCATGTACTAGTCAGGCGATTGCAACATGTTCCTAATGCTGGTCGCGCACGAGGCGTCAATCATTTTACTGACGCAAGGCTGCGTCAGCATCTGACGCGCCATGTGAGTTCGTATCGTACACAATTGTTTGAAATATGAGAGATGCAAACACTGCGTTTAGGTATTTATGCCTACGCCAATCATACCCAAAGGCTTGATGAGTGTAGATAGTTAACGCAATTAGAATGAAACGGACGTACACTAGCCGTCATTAGCTGACGTATGTCTCCGTCAGAAATTAGAAATTTGGCCTTTGAATACAGCATGGTCACCATTCGAAAACAGAAAAACTATTATACATGTAGTAATATTCATATAGATACCATATGTTTCTAGACTTCCCGAATTGAAATCATGGGCACAGGAGACATGACATACAAAGTGGGACCTAAGCGTTGGTCACATCCCACCGTGCGTGTTTTTAGTCCGTACGGTTTTTGGGGAGGCCACGGCCGTCACGTTTTTCTGAAAACGTAGGGAGGGAGTGGTAAAGTCAGGGAGGGAATACCGGCAACGCGCGTCACACGCACTGTGTAAGTATGTGGCCCGCACGCCACGCCTGGCCGTGAACGGTTGCGTGCATCGTACGTTGCGCACGTGGTAAGTGCGTTGTACGTGCTTACAACGTGCTTACAACGTACGGTCTCTGTGCGGTTGCCACGTTATCGTACGGAGGCCGTACTTACAAGTGCTGCTCACGTACGGTGTCCTTACTCGCTCGCATGTTGTAAGTGCGTGCACGTGCGATGAACTCGGTGTTTATATAGGACGACATTCCGATGTTCTCCAAAATTCCCAGCTGTTGCTGCCTCAAGATGCCGCCCATACTATATACTGCAAAAATCAGTGGGAACAACGTGCGTTGTAAGTGCTTACTCGGTACGGTCCACGTGAGTTCTGCGTGCTCATTGGATAGCTGAACTGGGGAAGTGGCGAGTAAGCACGGACCACGCACTTATCACGTGCGCCTTTAAAAGACTCACGGAGTCAGTGCTTTGTGCGCTCGTTGGCAGTACCGGGCACGCACGTCACACGCACTGGGGTGAATCGGTAGCCCGAACGCAGCCCGAACGCAGCGAAAGTTCCTCATGCACTAAAAGTGCTACGGTGTGTCTGCGTGCTCCCAAATCCGTACGGAGGCGGTACTCATCACGTACGGATACCCAAATTTTGCCCACGTTTTTGCACGTAGACAGCACGCACTTGCAAGTACGGCGGGATGTGACCACCGCATAACTGACAACCCCCTCCCTGCCCTCCTTACTGCTCAGTCAAGGTGGTATGTTTTTATATCCGACGAATCTTTAGACAATACATCAAGGATTGTCTCAGTAATGCATTTAACCTTTTCATCTGACCTTAGCTCAAATGATTGCAATTATGCGGCTCCCTGTGGAGTCATATGTCATAAATTGCCTCGTTACCAGAAAATATGAATTTCCTTTTGTTTTCACCCAACTTTTAGATAGTTTGAAGGAAAATTGCCCATGCCATTAATAACTTTTTGGTAAGCTGATAACCGACCTATTTCATATCAAGATAAACGATGATTTGTCGGTGATCTTCATGGTGTGATTAATCATCTGTTAGTGCAAGAAAAATAGTAGCATTCAAATTAATGAACATTTTCATATAAAAAAAGTGAACCGCACATTGAAATGAAATTAACCCCATTCTTTATTTTGTTTTGTAAAAAGCAGGAACAAACGCGTATACAAGCATGGTATGACTGTCATGCTGTGATAATGATATCATAAATGTTGCTCATGTGGTTTCATTATATGAATCATGTGATATGGTGACCTTTCATCAGCTGTTGCAAGGGCCCAATGTAGGATGGCTCTTGTTCGTTTCTCGTTATGCTGCAGAACCGATTATGACATTC